CTGGTGCCCATGCCCCCATCCAGCCCCTTGAGTGCTTCCAGGGGTGAGCTGTCCACAGAGCAGCAGCACAGAACTAACTCTCAGCAACCCCTGCCCCCAGCAGAAACTTCACTTTGCTACCCTGCTGTGCGGGAGGCATCCAGATGCCATGGTGAAGGATGGCAGAGAGATACCCTGTAGACGGACACAGGGGTCCTTACACTCGCTCTGGGGTACTTCACCTGCACCAGCCACCTCAGGCTCTACCACTGGCAGCACTCATCAGGATGTCAGCAGGAGTGCACAGAAGTCAGATGGGGGATTGAATGCCCAGCTCTGACATGTGTGGGGATGCCCTGGCACAGGGGTGGGCAAAAAGGCCTCCACAGAGGGTTTATCTGGCTCATGGGCGCCCTGCTGCTTCCCCACCCCCATCAGGGCCTAGGGATGGGGAGCATGCAGCACTTAGAGTCAACCACCAGGTTGATCCTAAGCACCATATGCTGGAGGGCAGACTTCGCAGGCCCTGGGGGCAGGAGGAAGAGCACAAAGTCTCCTTCCAGCCTGCAAGGAGTGCACAGCACTTAGAAGCACCGCATGCTCCTGGCACGGTGCGACTTTGCACACTCCCTCTGCCCCCAAACCAATCAGGGTCTGTGGGTGGGCCCTGGCCCCACCCCTTCCAGTAGCCTGGGACGAAGTGGCCTCTGGTAAAAAATATTATTCCCCATCCCTGCTCTGGCATCACTTACAGTGCTTGCCGGGGGGCGGGGGGTGGGGAAGACCTGTCCCAGCCTGGTGCAGTCAAGGCTCCAGCCTGCATGGCCAGAGCCAAACAGGTGCTGGATGCTCTGGGCAAAACACACCCCAGGAAGCTGTGCCCCGGGACAGCTGTGCGAAGGGGCCACGTGCAGCCCAGATGCAGCCATATTCTGAGCCAGTGTTAAGCTTTCCGGGGGTGGAAGAGCAGCTGAACCCTCCACCCAGACATCACACAGGGCCCCCAACTTCAATATTCTCTTTCAGAGATGGCACAAAGAGCCCCCGACCCCTTTCCAAAATTTGCTATCAGGGTCTGGTCTGGGTCCAATCCTCTGGGAATTAAGAGGCATCGGAACATTTGGGGAGTGGAGGGGGTGGGGGGTGTTGCCAAAGGTTTGAGGATGCAGCTGGTTCTGAGTAGGGGGTCAGATATCAGCTTTTAGGGGGTTAAAGGAGGGGCCCAGGGTAGGGGAGCAGCAGTGGAGGCCCAAGCCCTTGGGGACAAGACTAGAGTCAGGTTTTGGGGGAGAGGTTCCAGTTACAAGGTGCAGACCTGAGCAGTGCTCTCCCTGACACCACCAGCCCCCCCACGCCCTCATTGGCAGCCCCCCAAAGTGCAGGTTCTCCTTACTATGTGCAGCTGTAGATAGTCCCCCAGCCCAGAGGCACTGTCCACCCGCACCAGGATGGCGTTCTTCTGGTGTGTGCTGAAGCCCACAGCCAGCCGGTCGGCTCGTGTGCTAGGCCGGTCGTTGGGTGGCCAGGTATAGGTGATGAGCGCCCCGCCCTTCCCAAAGATGTACGTGGTACCAGCTGTGGGGGAGGGAAGAGAGACAAGGTTAGTGAGAGGGATTCGGGCAGCAGGCAGCCCCCTGTCCAGATGGGAAAATCAGCTCAGACAAAGCTACTCAGCCCGTGGCAGAGCTATGGACTCCCAACCCCAGCCCCATCAACAGGAGAAAAGGGAACAGTCTCCCTAGGGCCTAGCACTCCTGGCCATCACTGCTTATACTGCAGCAGTGCCAGAGCCCTGGAGCACTGTGCTGCACACTGCGTGCGGCTTTGAGAGAGGGGGGACATACCATGATGTGGACGGCTGGCTGCCTCCAGTCCAGCCCCGCCCCTTCAGGGAGCATGGAGCCATTCCCCCATACCTTGCCCAGGGGCCCTGCCCAACCCTATTCTCCCAGGCCCCACTCACGGCCCAGAGCCAGGGGTAGATCCCAGGACAGCTGAAGACATGGCTAACGCACTTCACTCTTACGCTCCCCTCCTGCGGTGCTAGTCCCAGACTCTGGGCTGCCAATGTTCCCAGACAGACAGGACACATTGCTGCAAATGGCATCAGATCCTTCCAGGCTGGAACACTGGCAACTCTACAGCCAGAGCTCCAACTCCTTCCCTCAGGCAGGATCAGGCCGGAGCAACCCCCGTCCTGAAACTCAGCCCAGCTGCAGCAGGCAGCCCAACCCTTTTTTAAGGAGATAATTTGATTCGTATGTCCTGGAAGGTAAGAGGAAGTCCGTGTACGGATGTCTAAGACTGAGAGTAGGTCTACACTACAGCTGTTTTTTGGAAAAAGCTATGCAAAATGCGCTCTGCATTTTGCATAGCTTTTTCTGATTTTTTTTTTTTTCAGAAGAGGCTCTTGCGCAAGAAGGAGCGTCTACACTGCCCCTTCTTGCGCAAGAAAAACCCTCTTGTGCAATGCCGTTCTTCCTGAAAAGTAATAGGTGTATGGCATTGCGCAAGAGGGTTTTCCCTTGCACAAGAAGGGGCAGTGTAGACGCTCCTTCTTGCGCAAGAGCCTCTTCTGAAAAAAAAAAAAGTGGCTCATTAGATATGCAAATGAGGCTCAGCAATATTCCATGCTTAGCCTCATTTGCATATTACTCACACAAGAAGCCGTGAGTGTAGACATAGCCTAGGTGTTCTCGCTATAAATCCTTCCCCCAGCTGGGAGGTCAAAGGTGAAACAGGCCTTCCCATTCCCTTTGCCTCCCCTAAGAGACACAGGAGACATGGCCTGGACACCCTAGAGCTTGCCTGCACAAACACCCCAGAGCACCCCCTGTCCAACATAGTCAGCACAGACTGCCTACATCAACCCACCTCACAGGCCCCTCAGCGCGTGCTCAAGCACTTTTATTAACCAAAGGTGGTTAATGGAGGATTGAACTGGTGCCACAATTAGCAATTAACAGACTCCTGATGGTGGAAGGCAACTGGCATGCAGGTGTCCCTCCATGGCCTACCTCTGATGATGGGCAGGGTTGAACTTCCCTCCCAGTGGGCGTGAAAAATAATTGGCAAAAAAACAAGCTGCAAATCAGGGGCAATTAGCAGCACCTGCCACAGAGCGGCAGGGGGCCCCAGCCCCGCCTGCCATAGCAGGCCTGAGGCTGCTACATATATGACCAAGGGCTCACTAAGCAGCATCCTGTGCCACACTAGTGCCTTTTGCTACAAAGAGGCCCAGAGCAGGATGCCACACTCACCCCATACACATAGATGGCCTTGTGTTTGCTACTGAGATACAGGTGCCTCAAGGGGAGCCCTGAGGCTGCTAAGAGAGGGATCCTTCACCCTGGGCTGAGGAAAAGCTCCATGTAGGTTAGGGCAGCCCTTATTTAACTGCACATAGCAATGCTACAAGAGTATGGGACGGGAAGTGCAGGAGAATCCTGAATCCAATGGGAAGCATTAAAGACGGGAGTTTGCCATTAAAGTGGGGTTTGCCAGGAGCTGGGAATGGGCAGCAGATGATCGATCACTAGACGATTTCCTGTTCTGTTCATGCTTGACATTAGCTATTGTCAGCAGACAGGACACTGGGCTACAGACCATTGCTCTGAGCCAGTATGGCCATTCCTATGTCCTCAGGGACATAGGGTGGGAGAAATGCCTACTCTTACAGACAGGTCCCTGGGACCATGAAGAGGAAAAATGAGGGAGGGAGGGGGGCTGGGTTCCAGCTGGGTCATCCATTCTCTCAATTTCCTATCTGCCCCAGCCTTCATGAGCAAGGGGAAATGAACTCATCTGCACATGGCAACTGCAAACACAGGCACAGACATAGCCAACCACAACTGCACACCAGCACAAATACAAATGGAGGCCTGGCCAAATGGAAATGCACAAAGACTCAAGGAAACACTCCCCAGCACAGATATGAATGTCGACATGCTTAGTGTACACACATGTGGGTGCACTCACACACACATATGCAGGCATTCAGATCTAGGATGCATACACACATACTCATGTGTATTCAGACCTTATTTTTCTGCACATACATACACAAGTAATCAAAGCCAAATACACAATCACAGGCTAGTGCAAACATCCACACCCACAAAGGAGCCAACACATTCACGCACAGAAAGCGCACACACTTTCCAATGCAAACACAACTCCCCTCATGCATTCTATTGCAAAAACACAAATCCACATATACTGACCAATGCAATCCACCCCCACGCTGATTTCACTGCAAACACATTCTCACAAACTCACCCCAATTCCAGGACATGCACACACAATTGCTCCGCACCCTCCACGGGCCGTAGCAATGCTGTCAGATCTCCATCTCCCAGGAGCAAGTCCCCTGACACCTCTTCCCCACTAATCGCACTGATGGGAATTGACTCCCACGTGAGATCAGCAGTGTTTCCTGCATTACCTCCTAAAAGCTTCTCTAGCTCTCACCGCAATAACCAGCCCCCCTGCACAGCCCCATCTGCTGCACCCTGCATAGCTGTTCCTGTCCCAGTAATCAAGGCCCTTCCAGCACCAACAGCAGATTTGCAGCAGCATGTTCTGCTGGGTCTGCAAAGGATCATGGCTAGGTGTGTGGGGACAGCACAGAGAGTAGATGTGGGGTCTGAAGCAAGACTCTGGAGATGACAGTTGCAGACAGGGAGAGTCAGGACTTTTGGGTTCCTTGTTTGGAGAGGGGAGTGATCCTGACAGTCCATAATCACCAGGCCTGACTTCCTCCCCAGAGCTGGGGTTAGAACCAAGGAGCCAAGACTCCCTGGCTACCCTCTAATCAGGATTTAGTGCCATTTCTCACCCCTCTGCCATTTCTACTGTGCTGTGTGCAGGGCCCTGGGTTCACTAGCCATAGTTCTACATAGTGTGTGGGGACACGCACCCTCTCACTGTGAGGCAGAGAAAGATCAGATGGGAATTGGGATTAGAATGAGAAATTGTGAGACTGACCTGTCTGACAACCCTATTGCTTTCCAAGAACCAGGCCTGGCCACCCAGACCTCCTCCAGTCCCCAACGTAGGCACCAGGGTTCCCTATAAGCTGTGCACTTGTGCTCCACTTAGGAGAGATTCAAATGTTGCCAAGCTGATTAGCAGAGAGCTCACAACTAGGTTTGTGTTTCTACTGGTGGTGCATGTTGTACATAGAATCCTAGAACACTAGAACTGGAAGGGACCTCAAGAGGTCATCAAGTCCAGTCCCCTGCACTCACGGCAGGACAAAGCACCGTCTAGATCATCTTTGCTAGATGTTCATCTAATCTGCTCTTAAATATCTCCAATGCTGGAGATTCCACAACCCCCCTAAGTAATGTATTCCAGTCTTTAACCACCCTGACTGTTAGAACGTTTTTCCTAATGTCCAACCTAAGCCTGCCTTGTTGCAATTTAAGCCCATTGCTTCTTGTCTTGTCCTCAGATGTTAAGGAGAATATTTTTTTCTCCCTCCACATGCCTCAGTGCACATAAAATGTATTCCACACATGGATAGAAAATATCTGCATTGATAGAAAAGATTAGCAGGAACACTGGGCACTGCTAGTACCCTCCGACACTGCTCCTCTGGCTGCAGGCCATGCTGGAGAGAGCCCTTTGCCTCACAGTGCTCCCTGGCACCCCATTGGGCCGGGCCCATGTTTCACGGGCATATGGCACACATTGGCAGGGAGCCAGAAGTGAGATTGGGAAGGGAGGGAAATAAGGTTAGGAGATGCATGAGATTACACTACCCACCAACTCCAGCACTAGCGGCACAAGATATTTCACATGGTGCTGAGATGCAGCTGCCTCTGGGGTGAGGCGCAGTGCCCGTTTACACAGTTACACAGAATGATGCACATGTGAAGCAGGAGCCCTGTACACAACTGACACTGCCAGCGGGAGCCGTGATACCGAGGGACACTGGTACCAGCTAGCTGAGGGTTTACTACTGTGTGAGCAACTCCTATCAGACCTAACAAACTCACTACGTCCAACACACTGCAGTCACGTGTTGTCCTATACGGTATCGAGTGAAAGTCAATGCCACACAGGGCATCGTTATCGGTGGGAAATACATGTACCGACTGTGCCCAGGAAGCTGTGCACAGATACTGAACTGATGCCGGGAAGCAGGTAATAAGGCAGAGCAGACAAACAGCTTTTCTGGCAGACAGGCGCCCGTCAGTTCTCTCTGAGGTAAGCACAGCCCTCTTATGCAAATACAAAAGATCTCTTTGCTTGTGAATGCAACAGGAAAAACTGCCTGGGAGGACATAAGCCACCAGAGGGGGGCACAAGACAGCAAAAAAGGGGGAAGAAGAGTCTTCTCTGGGGAGCACTGCCAAAAGAGCACCGCCACAACATACTGGACTTGATGAGGAAGGGAGGAGGCCCCCTTCTCATCCATCTCGGGGCGAGTAAACAGGAGAAGGCTTTGTGCATTTCTGAAAGCTGGCTCCTGGCCACAGGGGCTTGTGACTCTAGCAGGTTGCCACAGGTGAGAATCGGCTGCAGACAAGGATTTTAGCTTGTTCAGATTAGTTCAGGCTCCAGGAAGA